CCCAGTGATCTCCAAAGGAATAGGGTAGAAGTAGCAGTAGCAGTAGTAGCAGTAGCAGTAGCAGTAGCAGTAGCAGTAGCAGTAGCAGTAGCAGTAGCAGTAGTAGTAGTAGTAGTAGTAGTAGTAGTGGCAACAGCAGCAGCAGCAGCAGGAGCAGCAGTAGCAGTAGCAGTAGCAACTAGTAGTAGTAGTAGTAGTAGTAATACTACTACGACGACGACGACTACCACTACTACGACGACTATGACGACTACGACTACGACTACGACTGCCACTACTACTGCTGCTACTACTGCTACTACTACTACTACTACTACTACTACTACTAGGCTCCATTCCCTTCGTTTGCCGCACTCTGGGGGTGGGATGATGACGACAGTGTTACGCAACACAAAACCAACAATATCACCACAAGAGCCGTTGTACTCGGTATTTACAGTACTTTCGTGATGGCGGACGGACTAACAAAGGCTGCATTTCGGTAAGCAGGGAACGATGTTTATTGGGAGGGGTTGGGGGGGGTGGGGTTGGTGGGGGGGATGATGACGACATTGGTACACAGACACCCCGAACAATATCTCCACAAGAGCCATTTTTACTCGGTATTTGCAGTACTTTCGTGATGGCGGACTAAAAAAAGGCCGCATTTCGGTAAGCACGGAACAGCAAAAACTCGAGGTTTTTACCGATTTCAGAAAAAAATCGTGAAAAAAATCGATGCAGAAAACAACCTCTCTTCCAAAGCGAACCAAACATTCACACTGCTTCACATATTCCTACAAAGACCCAGAATGTGCTTAAAACCAAGGCAAAAACACAGTTTTAACATGATCACCCTCTGTATGTTGCTCTGAAGCACATCCCTGGGCACTCGTTTGCAGGGCCGTTGGCGCGGCAAACGAAGTGAATGGACCCTACTACTACTACCACTACTACTACTACTACTACTACTACTACTACTGCTACTACTACTACTACTACTACGACGACTACTACTACTACTACCACTACCACTAATGACTAATACTAGGAGCAACAGCAGGAGGCAGCAGTAGCAGCAGCAGCAGGAGCTGTTGTAGAAGAAGAAGTAGTAGTAGTCGTCGTCGTAGCAGAAGTGTAGTAGTAGCAGCAGTAGTAGTCGTCGTCGTCGTCGTAGTAGTAGTAGTAGCAGTAGCGGTGGTGGTGGTGGAAGTGGTAGTGGTGGTGCTAGTTCAGTAGTGATAGTAGTGGTAGCGTGGTCGTGGCAGTAGGTAGTAAGTAGTTGGTAGTAGGTAGTTGGTAGTAGGTAGTACGTAATTAGTGGCAGTAGGCAGCATGTCTACATCGTCCCGCAGAACTTCTCCTGCGGCTCGTCCTTTGCTTTCTTCTTGTCCTTGTCCTGTAGCCGATTCCAGTTAGAATTGGGTGCATCGGGGCGTGTGTCGGATGGTGCGGGATTGCGAGCATACTAGGCAGGATGCGGTCTTGTGGGATGGCGGGCGGCGTGGTCGGGAGATGTGAAATAATGCCTTGAGATGCTGCCTTCGTTGTTCTCCTGCAAGCTCAATTTCGATAGCTATCCAAGGTCGTGACCAGGTCACGGACATGGTGATGCTCATGATGATGATGATGGTGGTGGTGGTGGAGCTGAATATGACGGTGATGCTGGCACTGGGACGGATGATGCGCCGGCATCTTCTCGGCCTTCTTCTTCTTGTCATCGACCGGCTCTTCTGGTTCCTCTCCAGAGCCAGAGAATTATGGAACTGGAAGTAGGTCTCTGCTACTCCTGTCTCTGATTCTCTGAAGGCCTCGGCTACAGTCCGTGATTATCTGCGGCAGCAGGAGGCACATGTGCCAGGGTCTCTGGTTGAGGAATATCCGCTACCTGAGATTCCATTCGAGGTACCAACACTTGTGTGCTTTTTGCTACATCCCTTGCCAGCCGCTAGCATCAACCACGATGCTGAACTAAGCCAGCATCCCACGTGTGCAATTGATCCACCCTCTGAGCTACACAACCGCGGTGACGAATTGCCCAAGGCTAGTAGAGGAGCCCTGCTGCTGGCCTCCCAACCTGCTCAGTTAAAGCTCGAGGTCTTCGGTCTTGTCATGACAAGTGCCGATCCATGCACAAATTGCTGCCTCTGCCTTGAAAACATCCACCGTTGGCGGCGGCGCGTGTTCCTGCATCCCGAGCGTGGCATGCGAGTCTCATGGATTCATCCCGCGCCTCGAGCTGTTGGTGTTTTCTTCTGTGAAGATCGTTCTCTGTTTGTTGGGTGAATCTTAGGAGTGCAGGGGCCAACACAGATCCCACGCGGGACCGTTGCACAGTTATTGTGGCAAGGCCTGGGCCGCACATGTTGAATAGCAAACGTGCAAGTTGAATCTCTGTTTGGACTAAACACATTCTCAGTACAGCAGCCCTACCGTAGCAACAAATTGCTTCAACACGGCAACAAACGGCCTTAAAACAGCATAGTACAAACACACATGCCTCCGGCAGGCCCATGTGCATGGCGGAATAGTAGAAGTCGCTCAGAAGTTGGCAGGTGGCGTGGTATCGCCTCGTGCGTCGGGAGCGAACCTCCATGTTTTGGTCCCCTCGACAGAAGCGGTTGCTCTCATCGGCAGCACACCTCATCCCTCTCGGGAATATTATGCTTTTGTTTCTGACGATTCGAAGACACGAAAATCCGAAGTCATACACGTGATGCACCAGCGCCGCCGCCGCCACCACCGCCACCACCACCACCACCACCACAACTACCACTCCTACTGCTAGTACTCCTTCTCCTCCTCCTCCTCCTCCGCCTCCTGCTGCTGCTGCTGCTGCTGCACTACTACCACTGCGACTGCGACTGCGACTACCACTGCCCCTGCCGCAGGCACCGCCACCGCCGCTGCCCATGCGACTGCGACTGCTACTGCTGGCAACCACGCAGTCGAGCACCGGGCTTGACCTCCAGCTGGACAGCATGCTGGACCTGCACGCGATGCAAGTGTTGGTCCGAATCTTAGAGAGCGGACCAGAGTTCCTCTAAGGCCGCTAAAGGCCGCTAGGAGTTGATTTCGGGGTTTCTGACAGGCCAAACGACCGGAATGTGGTTCCGCGGGTGTACGTTCTGCATAGTTAACTATCTGCGATGCGAGGACTATGGCGGAACGGCAGTCGCAATAGGTGTCATGAGCATCGAAGAAGTCACTGGGCCGCACCCGCAGGACCATAAACTCAGATCTCTCGATCTCTCGAAACCCACTGGTTCGATGCCCTTCATTTTTCCCACGACTTCGCACGAGGATGCTCAGATGGCCCGTGCGAATCCGTGCGAAGCATCGGGAACACATAGGTGCTGTTCCAAGCTTCGGGACATTCAACTTTCATCGGGCCCTCTTCCCACGAGTTTGCATGATTCAGGATGCCTTGACTGAGCCCGAATTTAGCTTCGGGCTTCAGGGCCTTGGAGCTCGTTAGCGTCATGTTCCATAAATTGGGGGCCAAGTTTTGGTGGTTTAGGCTGCGGCTTAAGATCACTGGAAACCATGGAAGTTACCCAAGGTCTTGGCAAGAAGGCTTGGACGCCGCGATTATCCCAGTTGTTCCCCAAAAGCCATAGGCTCTACACTGGGCCGTGTCTCAAGGACTCAAGGCGTTTCCGCTTTTTCAGATCACTCTTCTTGGAGTTCTCCTTCTGTTTCCTGGGATGCGAAGATGCGGTGATTGGTGGCTTCGGGAGTGCCGGGGTGCAGATGGGTTTGCTTGGAATTTGTCGGCCTTGGGTGAAAGCTCATCGAGATCTCGGTTTATTGTCCTCCGAATCTCACTCGAAACACGGTAGTATCGTTCGGGTGGTGGAGAGAAGCTGCTCTCTAATCATTATCCCGGAGTCAACCTCTGGGGTAGACACTTCAGAGCATCGTCTCGGCTGTTTCTGGATATCAGACGGCTTCTGTCACTAACTCCTCAAACCTGAAAAAACAATGCGAACCTGTCCATACCGTTAAGCTGCTCTTGTATGGTACTGAGGCGAGTGGCTTCTCCTCCTGTCGTTGCTGCCACCTGGGCAATGTTGCTATTTCGAGTCGCAAGACAAGGTGTTGCGGAGGTTGATCGACTGTTGCCATAGCATTGAAGAAGGCAGCAGATGGATGGAAGACGCAAGCGAATCAAAGATATCAGTGGCAAGGACATGGCGGTAAAGCCAGAAGCCTTGAAGCAGTGCGGTAGGGCTTCCAGATTCCAACAACTCAGACGGAGGCTCATGCATTGCTTGAGTCCAGTCGTGGCAGGCGTCCTCGATGTACATACCGTGGCGGATGAACTCCTCCCATTGCTGGAGTTATACGCGATGCATGCGGAGCTGGGTCGGGCAGGGAACACTGCAGGCAGCATCGCAACCTCAGGAACAGATAAGCAAGGCATGACATGAGCTCCTGGCCGTGCGAGTACATGTCCGTCATCGTGACAAGCCACTCCTGTGTCCAAAAGTCACCAAGGATTCACGCACTGGCCGCGCGGCTTGTCGGTGCGCGCACATGGATTTCGTAGTCCGGCTGAACGGAATACGACATGTCCGGGAATAGTTGGGGCACCGTGTTAGGATGTTTAATAAAGTTGCCCCCAAGTAGAAAAAACAAAACCGAAGCCTGTGAGGCTCCCTTCACCTGCGCAGCAACATCTTCGTAGATTTGCTCTCACCAAACATCTCATGATGCAATCATAGCCCCTTCACGGTCGCAGCCGTTGTCTTGCACCCTCGAACGGGAACCAGTGGCTTCAAGATATTGCAGCTACAGTATTTTGAACAAGTAGACCTTCTCTTGAGATACCGAAAAGCCAACCCCAGAACCCGAAAGCTCTAAAGCCTCAACTCCAAACATCCCCAAACTTTAAACTTAATTTGTATAACCCCAAACCCGAGGAAACGCTCGGCTCTCCTTACTGGTGATACCCCAACGCTGAATCCCCAAATCCCAAAATTCTTGACAATCACATAAAATCCGCAAACCTGCAACACTCAAGCCCTAGGCTGGTGCTTGAATTTGGCTTGGCTTGAATCGGCCCTTTCTCGAACCGGTGGCGTGCTGAGAGTGTGCTCGAATCGCCTGTGCTTGAACCAGGAGTGCTCAGAGCTCGAACCACTGTTCTAAACAGATGCAGCTCGCCTCCGATGCAGGCACCAGGGATGCTAGGTGCCTCATGATCTTCCAAGACAGATACCTCAGCACAGAACGCTGCAGCTCAAAGCCGCTGCCGGCGAAAAAGCTGGGGAGTTGTTTTTTTGACAGGGTGTTTCTACAATCGTGATAGCACCCAGGACTACATGGGCTGCCAGCATCGCATCTGAGACACAGCTCGTGAGTCTGGGGCACTGGGCCATCGCTCACAGCACTTTCCACCCTATGCCAGAGAGGCCCAGCTCAAACTTGCTTGGATAGCCGCAGGCCGAGGTGCGCATCCTCAGCCAAGTACATCAGCTGCCTAAGATGAGAGACAGGCCCCGGCTCAAAGAGCTTTCAGGTAAAAAAAAAGCACTGACCTTTCTTCACTTCCAGCTTCCATTCGAGCGCTCCGGGCTACTTGGAGAGCTCTCTTCTGGAACTTTACAACTGTAGGAGAATCTTGGGGACAACCACTCAGCTCCGTGACAGTGTACCTGCGAGTAGTGACGAGCACCACCGTGAATGCTGATATGGAAAACAAGAGTTCCCGTTACATGCTGAGGGCCGCAATGCCGCTGATGTCGCTGTTAATGATGGAAAGACGTCCACAGCTATACGGATTGTCCTGAGCACGTCTACTATTAACAGAGGCGCGAACATCTTGACCCTCGCATAGTACGAACCGAACCACAGCCATAACCGCCGCCACCACCACTCACTACTCACAACCACCACCACCGCCGCCGCCGCCACCACCACCACCACCACCACCACCACCACCTCGTCACAAAGCGAGACAGCGATATACAGCGATAGCAGCATGAATAGTACAACGGACACAAGTAGTAACACTAAGCACCATCAACAATAACAGTAACATCGTTTTAATAAGGGTGGGAATAAAAACAAGCTCCTTAGTGAACCTAGCGATGCATCGCTGCCCAGGCGGCTGTTCGGACAGCGGCCTTTTGTCCCAGTTCGAGCGAGTGATGGCCTCAAAAGGACACATTGCGAATGGACGGGCTTATGAGTTTAGGGATCTGCTCGAGTGGCTGCCACCACGATAATGGCGATCTGCATACTGACTTTGCCCGACCTCTGCCGAGCAAAACCTGGTACTTTACTAGCTCCAGGCCTTGCCATCAAACCTCTCAGGAAGCCTGGACCCCACGTGCTGCAGCCTTCAACCTGAGCTCAAAACTTGCAAGCCTGTCGATTCCGGCCTTACTCTGCTTCACGGACGTCCCAAGGAGGGAGTTGCCGAGGCCCTCCAGCCCTCCTGATGCAATGGGCACACTGCGGACTGAGACGCTGTTGCTAGAGCTCCGCTTGTTGGCGGTGCCGGTGTTGCACATGTTTCGTTGCCGATGTTGGTATTTGTGGATGATGTTGTCCTTTTGATGATGTTCGTGGTCTTGGTAGTTATGGTGGTTGCTGATGTTTCTGTTGCAAAGCTGCTGACATCTGGCAGAAGCGATGCAAACTGTGGTGTCCTTTGAGGACAATCTGCTCCGGCCATGCCGACAAGAAGTCGATGCCCTGGACCTGAGCAAGAGGGTGCCAGTGAGGGCTCTACACGCGGTTGTCGATGCCGGCATGAGGAGTCCAGCTTCGACAGCCACACTCTGTTAGATGTTGGAGTGGCTTATCCCAAGACCCACAACGCAGGCCATAGTCCATGAAGCGGCCACGCAGTCAAACTCGATTGCCAGTCGCGCCGCATCGGCAGCCTTACTCGGCACACTCAGAGCCGCTATGTCTTTGTGTGTGGTGCGCTGCACATAGCATGTATGGATCCAACCACACTCCTGCACTTTAAGAGCAAAGCCGCCAGGAAGCGAGACCCATCCCATAGAAGGTGTGCTCATCGTTCTCGAGGAATCTCCTGGACTTTGGAAACTCCAATAATTTTGGAACTTGTGAAACTTCCCCAAACTCTCCAGCCAGACTCAAACTTGTCCGGGCGGCCAGAGGCCATCGAAGAGCGGCTGCGGCCAGCTCTTGCGGAAGGGCACAAGATCCACTGCCAGCACCTCTTGCAGTCTTCTAACATTGGTTTAGCAGGCATGAAATGAGTTACGAGCCCAGGTTGGCATCAAAAGCAGGTGAAGGGCACCCACCACAGCGATTCCTGTGCTAGCAGCGATGACGAAGTGTCCCCAAACCGTGTCAGCCCAAAGCGTAACGATCAATATTGAAACCCTGAAGCCCTGTTTAGTCATCATGCTGGTCAATACGACACCGACTCTTATGATGCTGCTGCTCCTGCTATTGATAATGCTGATGATGATGATGATGATGACACTGATGCTGATGGTGATGATGTTGATGATGATGATGATGATGCTGCTGATGATGATGTTGATGATGATGCTGCTGCCGCCGCCGCTGCTGCTGGTGGCGGTGGCGATGTTGAAGACGAGGACAAGAACAAGGATGACTAAGGATGACCAGACATAATCAAACAAGTTGAAGGCAATGGTTGTGAAGATATTGAAGATGTTGTTGATGGTGATGACGATGGTGATGACAACGACGATGCTGACTGTGGCAATGTCATAGCCATCATAATCATCTGTGTATATCTGCGTCTTCTTCTATTTCAGTATCTTCTTGGTCGTCTACATCCTCATGCTTATTAAGAACATCATCGCCATCATCTTGGCCGCCAGCCATTCCATCGTTAGCATCATCACCAACCTCATCGTCGTTCTCATTTGTCTCGTAGCCTCCAAATCATCATTTGAACCAACATCAACAGCTTCATCGTCACATCATCATCATCATCACCACCATCATCATCACTACCATCATCAGCATCAACCTGACCATGGCGACCCTGATCCTGACCATGATCGTCGTCATGACCATCATCACCACCGCCATTCTCATCACAGCTCTTGCTACCGTACTCACAGTGGCTATCATTGTCGTCGTCGTTGCCGTCGCCATCTTGTGCCATTGCTTCCATCGCTGTCGCCACTGCCGTCATCTCAGTTGCGCTTTGCATTTGGTAATGGTCGTGGTTGTGATCGCAGTTGCGGTCGAGTCGTCGCTGCGACCGACTAGGTGGCCATCAAAATGATCAAAGTACAGCATTCTGCTTGGTGCGATGTCTACCAATAGCGGCTGCTGCTGCTGCTTCTGCCGCAGCACGAAATTGAAAGAGCACTACAATGACCATGACGATGAGCGCGGCAGGGACGTCCACTTTTCACACACACACACACACATTTCTTCGGATGCCGAGGGCAGGACCCAGGGACCATTGCAGATTGTGAGGACGGCCTCGTTGCGACAGACTCTTTACAGCGCGCCTAAACATCCTGAAAAGCCAAGGCCAGTCAATCTCAAACCCTTGCATCCTTCAGCCTGGACACCGAAGCTTCCAACCAATTTGGGGACAACTTCCTGCATGCATATATATATATATATACAAATATGTTCTGGGAGTGCAGGTTCCGAAAAAGCAAGAGCCCTTCACTCGACCGTGCACGCCCCGTAAGTCCGAAACCTCAGACGCCAAGTTGCAGATCGACTTGGCGGCGCACCCTTCACAAAGTTGGGCCGCCACTCCTGGGCTAAAGTGCCATGTGATGCGGCCATAAGCTCAATCAGGTGGAACTGGGGCTTGGATGCACTGCGTGCAATCACAACCATGCACCTGCAGCCCCAGCCCACGTCACCAGCAATCATGGAAGAACCGACCAAATTGCCACAGCTCCATGTCCAAGCCGAAGTGGTAGCGACGATCCCATCCGAGGAGGAAGTCTTCGATCTCTTCTTAGCTTCCGAGAACTCACATTGCCAAAGGGTCAAGCCTGCTACCTGGCCTGCAGGAGCCATTACTGGACAACATGTCTCCATTGAAGTGCCCGTCTGCGACTCTACATCTCCATGTCTACAAGGGGACCGTCGTAAACATCGTTGCGTCGGGTGTCTCCGATCGCTGGTGAAAAGAAGCTGAATGTCCGGAAGGCCGCAGTGTGCGTCAATCGTGCGGAAGACGCCCATGGCTTCGGCCCATGCAAGTTTGCAGAATTATTGAGGTTGCGTTGGGGTTGATCAATGAACGTACAGCTGGAACACTACATGACTAATCTAGCGGAATCTAGCGATTCTCAACCATGTGCTGAAACTAGTGGCTCATCCGGAACACAGGAGCATGTGGTCTGGTACGAATCCAAGCGGACGGACACCGGAACTGCAACTAAAGGAGACGTTCTGTTGAAGGCTTGAGAAGCTGCCACCTGACTCGTCTCCCTCAAACCCCTCAGCCCTGAGCACCTAAATCCCCAGAACCCTAGACCCCCAAAGCTCCAAACTTTAAACACCTTCATGCGTTTGGCCCTACACCTCCCTGAGTTTCAAAAGCTCAGGGTTCAGGCCCCAGAAGCCTGGGAGGCCAGGACTTCCGTCTGCGACTCGAGCCATCGACTCGTCTGTAACACCTTTTTGCAGGGGCTTAGGCTCCGAGGGACTTCAAGAGCTCGGGGTGTTGAAGAGCTGGGGGAGTAAAGGAAAAACGAGACACAACTATTGTCAGTCCTTCGCTGAGAGAGCTCGCCCCAAATCAAGGCTGCTGGACAATCAGACATTGCTGTTTCAACAAAGGGTCTGTAGAAGCGTTCGAGCCGCAAGCTCTGAAAGGTTCCAAGCTCCCTGACTGGACTCCGCCCGTCAGTCAATTCGGCGGCGCACAGGTATGTAGCACTTCTAGTGACCTGAACCTCTGTCGCCATTCCCCGTCACATGAGAGCAAACCAACAATGCCAGCATCGGAAGTGTGGTTTTGCTTGACGTGATAACACCAACCGTTGATATTTCACAGAGAAGCATCCACACCAAGGATGAACATGACAACAAATGCCTGGCCTTGCAAGACTTTGTTATGCAGTTATGCTAGTATCGTACTTTCAGCATCTCTAGCGCATTACCGTGCAAGCTGTCAAATTTGAGGTTTGCATTGTTGCCCCTAGATCAACCCTCCCACGAATAAAGAAGAAGTTCTCATGCTAATATGCGCACATCCATCTCTCACTCTCTCTCTCGCTCTCTCTCTCTCTCTCTCTCTCCCCCTCTCTCTCTCCCTCTGTCTGTATATCTATATATATATATATACATACCTACCACACATAAAAAGCTGAAAAGTAGATGTTGAATGACTCCAGGTACGTCAGAAACACGAGCCTGTAGAAACACTTGGCCATTTGATGATAAGGTTAACAATTCCAATGCTGACATATCTAGGATGATTGACAACAACCCCAACCCGCAGAGTTGGCGCCTCGAGCTGCTCTAGATTTGTTGTTCGCTGGTTTTCCACCTGGAGCAGGCCGCTTGTGCACATTCGCAGAATTTTTGGAGCAATGCAACCAGCCGGAACAAACACCCAAAAATCCAGGATCTTTTCGGGATCTGAGGAGGTTCTGACTGGCCTTGCTTCACGACCTGCAAAGCGCATACGGGCCCACGAGTATGCGGAAGCTTTCATATGTCTCTGGGCACGGCTCTTATCGAGTTTAGTGTCAAGTTTAGGCAAGGCCTCGTCTTGTCCATTCCTGGGCTGTGCTTTATGCGATGCTTGGGCGCTCCGTGCGGCAATCCGCAACGTCGTTTAACCAAAGCCCCAGCATCTGCCACTGAAATGTCAGTCAACGACTTGACAGAGGAAGCATCGGCCGCCACCATGCTGACGGAACGCACGATCATGTTCTTGCAAGGATGTCCAGAAAAGCAACCACCCTGCGTTCCCGACCCCTTGTCGCTGGCATGCCTTCTTAGGGAATAAAAGTAAGGCCGTGGGCACAAGTGGCGGCTGAAAATTTGCGGTTTCTTGCTTGCTCGAAATGGTGGTGGTTTTTACAAACCTAACTTTCTCAAGTTATGCTTGTTAGCATATCTGACTTGCCTCACTAGTTCGTAGTTCGTAGACTATGGCCAGCTAGTTTGATGTGCAGCTCTCGAACCAACTCCGAAAGCAGTTTGATTTCGTTGCTGTGCGGTTTGTACTTGTTCATTTCTTCATGTGCTTTCTTCAGCAGCACCTCATTTCGTGTTTGCTCGGTTCACCTTGACATACGTACTATCCACGCCTAGGATTAGTCGAATTCCCCTCGTTTGAAATGCATTACCGACTTTTGCATCGATGGTGTTAGCTGAACAGCTTCAGGACCAGACAGCAGTTGTGTTTCTGTTGATGGCTTTCAGGACGCGGCGTTTCCAGTGTGCAGAAGCTAGCGTGCTTGTATCAAAACTCAGTTTGTGGTTGATTTCATGTCTTGTGTCTATCGATCGCTGTTATGATGCGATGGGGAGCACAAGCTGAGGGCGCTTGTTTCCCTGGAGTGACATGTTCAGCTTAATCAATCCAACTTTCCACACTCCAGACCGCCCTCTGACGGACTGCAAGTCAACTTTCCCTTCTCGCCTCTGCCACCAGCCTAGTGTGCAGCTCGTCCGCTCGCAGATGGAACTCTGCCTTCGTGGCATCCTGCAGAGCGATGGATTTCCAAACCTGCATGCATGGTCATCATCACCTTGCGATGCTCCGAAGCAGGCGCTTTGCGTCAGAAGAAAAGACACCCAGTCAACCGAGGAGGTCCTGCTTGCGCATGTCTGGATACTCCTCTGTGAAGAGGTTGAAGCTCAAGACCTCAGACTTCTCCACCGAGCAGAGAACTGCGGAGTTTGACATTTCTCTCGAGACAAACATACGGGTAGAGAGGCTAACAACAGGCCTCGCCAACAAACAAAGCCAAACTCTGGTCATTCAGCGCCGGGAGTTCGGGCGAAATCGTCCACAAGGGACTGCTTTCCGTCCACACGCTGCAAGTACTCCGCAAAGCGCTGCTTCATCTGGGCGGCGTCTGGTTTAGATTTTACGGTGCGGGGTGTAAGGCATTTAAACCGCAAGTCCACATTTGACATGTCGACCTGACCTGCAAAAGCGGATCCCTTTGTGGTAGGTCAACCAAAGGCGAAGATCATGTGACTAAAGATCCGACTCCCAATCAAATGGAGACACGACTGTCCACAAAGATGCGCTGTTGGGACTGTAAACAACTCCAAGCCTCAGAGTCGGAAGTCGGTAGACCTCCAAGCCATCTGAACCTTAAGCCTGAAGCGATGTTCAATATAAACCTAAGCGTAGTTTCAACCAGTACCGTGGGTAGCACTAGCAACGAATAATGACATCAATGACAGCAGTACAAGTCATACCCTTAAGGGACGAATGGGAGCAGCAGTGCTCATAATGATGACTTTGTTCGGAAGGAAGTTGTAAAGAAGAAGAACAGACACAAAAGTCACAAAATGCACAACACAAATACAATCACACTCGCATGATCATGCTAGCCGCTAGCCGGAGCAAAAAGTTGAGTCCGCGCACGCCATAGAGACCGCTGCGGAAATCGGAGAGGTGGCATCGGTGCCTCAGAGCAAAGGACGCTGAGGATTTGCGATATCTAGGGCTTTGGGGCTCTTAGGGTTTGTAGGTTTCGACGTGTTATGGCGGTTTACCGGGCAGGTGGTTGTTGGGCCTCGAGGGCTGGGATCCCTGGAGCCCTGGGCGACAAGATCGCCAAGGAAGACTTCTACGCGAATGTGATGGCTTGAATCGCAACGGGGCTCAAATTAGCACCAGCGAAAGTAAACAGCTGTGTTAAGGCCGCCCTATCTATGGTGGCCAAGTTCAAGAAGTCAAGTGTCGTCAAATCAATTCGTTCCTGCTGTGAGCTTTGTGTGGACTCTTCCGGGGGCACAGCCAATTGAAGAGCTGGTTCAACGCAGCCACGAACTCGTCTTGGAGCTCGGTCCATTCCTGGTGACTGGCAGCGCAGCTCGAACCGAATACCCAGACAGCACCAATCACTAGCAGAATGAAATGGTCGATTCTTCAAGGCACTTCCAGTAGCGGCAGATCTGGATTTGTCCCAAAGTGCAGTTCCAACGTACAGTACCTCGTCCAAGCCGACATATGCGGGATTCGACATTCCAACCGAGTGGATGCCCGTGTTACACCTTGCACACCTGTAGTGGATGCAGATTATTCGCCGTGAGTTTGCAAGTCAGCAGACTTCAAGAACTATGTCTAGGCCACGCCGAACCCACAAGAACGGTAGCCTCAGTTAGGCAATTAGCCTAATTTATGGACGTGCATTTGTTCTGCTGATGCACGACACTGCGGTCCTCTGCCTACACGAAACAAGTACCAAGTCATCACTACCACCCTGCTTCTTCCTTCGGAATGCATGTTGCACCGCAGTCGAACCACTTCTACCTTATCTGCGGACCCTTTATTCCAAAACCATGGCCCCTTCAAACCGCAACCCTACACTTCGCACAGCACACCTTGCGCTCCAAATCCTACCCATAATGCCCATAATGTCCCGTCATTCCATTTGGGGCTGGGGTCTCTGAAAGCCTATCACACCCTTTTCGGGTTGCCCCCGCCCCATATCTCGCAAGGTTTTGGGCGTTTCGCAACCAGTCACTCGTTTTAGGAATTTGGGGTGTGCCACCCAGCATCTCCTGTTAAGGTCTCGGGGTGTTAAGTGTTTACAACGATTCTTTATTCGGCGTTGGCGCTTGCTGCCCATCTCAAAATTGTGATTTGGTTTTTCCACCGATCAATTTCTTAGATTTGTGCAACCAGTCTATGCTTTTCGGAGTTTGCGATTGCTCCCCATCACCTGCTAATGGGGACTTGGTTTTTGCCAGCCGCTTCGAAACTTCCAAAATACCTCGTACTCCTACTCCTGCTCTTGCTCCTACTCCTACTCCTACTCCTACTCCTACTCCTACTCCTACTCCTACCCCTCCTCCTACTACTACTATTTTGCAATTGGACGCGGTGCGAGCGGGCTCAGCACGTCCTACTACTACTACTAAAACAACAACAACAACTACTACTACTACTACTACTACTACTACCCTCACTACGACTACCACTGACACTACACTAGAATTGCCACTGACACTGCCAGTCCCACCCCCTACTACCACTATCACTACCACTGCTACTCCCGCTACCACCCCCAGTCCCACTACCACTACCACTACCACACCACCACAACAACTACCAGCAGGATGTAGGCGTTTCTACTGAAGACAGTCGCTGCGTGAGACGGAAAGGACAAATTGGATGTTTCCTTTGCAGCACCGACCAAAGCCTGAACCCTTCACCCTTTCTGAGTTCAGGGCCCCTGTGTGGTTCAGGGTAAACCCTAAACCCTTCACCCTTCACCCTTTGTGGTTCAGGGGAGGCTCGCAGTGACCCTAAACGCTTTTGGCTCTCGGAATGTTTGGGAAGCTTAGATGTGGGGGTCTGCGAGAAAAAGGAGTTTAGGGTTTAGCAGAATGAAGAGTGGTGGAGTGCTCTGTGAACACACCCTTGCCACTTAACATGGCTGCCCGATACACATGCAACAGCCCGTGTCAGGTTGTACAATCCCTCGTGCTACCCTGTGAATCCTTTCTGAGCCATGAGACCCTTCCTAAACCCCGCATGACACCTCATGGGAAAAACATTAACCAGTTATTGAACCTTACAAAACGCACAGGAAATCAGGAGTGGCCTGCGATGATCGCCAGTGCCGGCTGCACAAAAGCTGCCAGCAGGGCAACCTGCTCGGGATTTGGAGACTTTTTCGGGATTTACTGCAGCCTTTTGCGGTTTATTGGACTTAAGGTTTTCGGGTTGGTGATGAGGGTCTCAAAAGAGTTTACTTGTGAGGCTGCAGTTTCGCGGTGGGCGGGGGTGGGTTTGAGAGTCAGGGCTCAAGCCATTTGGATAATCAGACCCCCTCGCCCTCTTCTTGCATTGTCGCTGGTGCCTGCGTTTGAAATTCGTCACTCTTGCAAGAAAGCTGTCCGCTCGAGGCTTATGAGCCCAAAAGCCCCACTCTGGATCCGATTTAGGGCTTAGGTTCCCTTTGAGGGCCAAGTGCAGCTCAACCTCGCCCCTGCGCTCCCGTTCTGGTAAGCCCCAAAGCCTACTATAGGGGCCTTAATGATCGAACAAGGTTCTGGGCTATCCTATACTGCAATAAAAGTAAGGAACCCGCAAAATAGTACTGGTAACTACTGCATTAACCCCTGAACCCTGAACCAAAGGCCCTGTCATGTCCTGTCATGCACAGCCTTGGCGAACCGGCGCGCGCCGCCGTGGAACCTTCCACGCCGAAGCAGCTGTAGATGATTAGGGTTTAGAGGAACTTCAGGGATTAGGGCATTTCGGGTTTAGGGTGGTGTTTTTAGGGTTGGTATACGAGTCAAGTTTTCCGCCCCGGTTTTCAGTCTCTGCTGTCAGGGTTTCGGGCTCGGGTTAGGGATTTTGGGTTCACACCTTCGTCGGGCTTCCTGGAAATCCTCTCCAAGGCCTCCAAAAACTCCGAGGGCCCTCGACCCAAGCCCCAAATCTAAACAGCCCTCAACAGGAAGTCACGAAGCTGGGAACAATGAGCACAAAGTGCAGAGGACACGAAATCTGTCAATCACCAACAGCTTAGAATCCTGAAGCCGAAGAGATAAGATCAAAGCCCAACAGACCCCAAGCCCCCAAAACTGTCAAGGGTTTAGTAGGGTTTAAAGGTTTAGGGTTTAGGGTTTAAGGTTTAGGGTTTAGCCCCTTGAAGGGCCTAGGGATTGGGGGTTTGGGGATTCTGGGTAAGGCTTCTGAGCACAGTTGCCCGGGGGGGGGGGGGGGGGGGGNNTCAGGTTTGAGGGCTTAGGGTTTAGGATTTCTGGCGCGGTCCTGGGTTCTGGGAGACAGCATTCAGGGCTGCAGAGATCCCAAACGCAGGGTTTCGGGTTTAGGGATTTAGAGCTAGGCTATGAGGCTCCTTGCCTGGAAGTAGCTTTGGACACATCTCCCGCGCCGCCCGCACACCCTAAATCCTGGACTCTAAACTTGAAACCTTAAGCCTAGTTAAACCCAATATCCGAGAATTTAAACACCGAAATCCTAAATACTGACCTCTCGGGGCCGTCGCCTTGCCTGCAACACGACCCCAAACCCCAAGAGCCCAACACCCGAAAAAGGAACCGCGGGAGCTGCACCTCTGCAGCTGCTCATGGCGACGGTAGACATCTAAGGTAAGGCCTCTTGGGGAGGGAGACAAGAAGCAAAAAACACCCAAACGGAGCCTCCCGGGTTAGGAGAGCGGAGGGTTTAGGGGAGGGAGTTTTTGTTTCGAAGTGTTGCAAGTGCAGATAGTATCCGTAACGCTGTTGCAAGGCCCTCGATAGCTATGCAAGCCCTCCTCTAACCCCAATGCACCAGTAATTGTGGTAGCGATGGTAGTAGCAGCGGTAGTGGTAGTAATCAATACACTCGTCGCCTTTTTGTTGCAACACGGTCCTCCTCGTCACCATGGCAGTGTAAGGTAGCTAGGTGGAGTCATCATCCGCTGTAGTACCTTACCTACTAAGTCCCCCGATCCTCTACCCTAAACCCTAAACCCTAAATCCTAAACCCTAAACCCTAAACCCTAAACCTAAACCCTAAACCCTAGCCCCTAAGTGTGGTGCCCAAGAAAGCCGAGGCTGGCACCATCCCTGGCACTGCCCGGGCACTGGAGCCGCGGTGGAGCAATCGCCTGGAGGACCGGGGCAGAATCCCAGAGCTGAAGACTTTAGGGTTTAGGGTTTAGGGTTCAGGGGTTTAGGGGTTTAGGGGTTTAGGGGCTTAGGGGCTTAGGGATGTAGGGTTTAGGATTTAGGGTTTAAGGTTTAGGGGCTTAGGGGTTTAGGGGTTAGGGTTTAGGGGTTTAAGCTTGGGGGAGCTCTTCGCTCAGAGCTCAGAGTCGCAAGGCGCCGGAGATGTGATTTGCCAGGTGTCTGCAAGAATGTTCGGGTTGACTTCGGCGGTTTGGTCATGACTTCATGTGCGTGCATGGGTTCGCAGAGGGAGACAAGCACGGAGTGATTGATTCCTTACCTGACAAGCGCAAAGGCCGGGGATGCATGCTCCGCCACCGTCCACATCCGCCGCTGCTGCGAATACTGGTGCTTTCCAATATGGAACCCTAAACCCTGAACCCTGGACCCTGAACCCGGAACCCCAATGACCTTGTTCAATTTAACTCGACCCAAGATCCGACCAGAAACCTTTGAAATATCCCAGCTGGGACCACGAGGATGGGTCGGCGGTGCCTGCAGCCCCGCGCAGTAGTACAGAGCCCCTGCGAACTTGTATGTAGTTGTTGTTGAAGGTGATGGGCTCCGAAACCATGCTGTTGTTTGTATTGCTTTGGTGAGTACTATCACTGCTACTGCTGCCCTCCTCTTACGAATACTACTATACAATACACTCTTGCGTTGAGGACGGATTCACATGCTTTAATGCCAAGGCTTGTGGGCTTTAGGGTTTACTGTCTAGGGTCTTTGGGGCCTTAGCGGTTTTTGACTTCAGAGGGGTTTCAGCGACTTG